AAAAGGAACTGTGCAGCCACTGAGACAATTTTTTTTGTGTTTGTCATATATCTGGAAAATGTTTTTGTCTCCACAAGGTCTGAAGAAGGAATGCTTGTTGGTGGGGTGGGGTGGGGGGTGGGGGGGTGCAAAGTGTATCACTTACACAGAGAGCAAGACAGAGATGGGCAGAGAAAGAGAGTCGCATGGCTGAAATACAGGTTCTTTGTATTTACTCCCAGGTGAAAAGGGAAGATATGCATGTGCTGGACGAATACTTATCCATCAGCTGGTGGTGGCCTAATGCAGAGTGGAACGGTGGCGCAGGCTAGTCTGACAGGGGAAAAAAAGTTGGAGAATCTTGTGGAAAAGGAGATTCTCATGGAAAACCATGAAAAAAAAAAAGCAACAGAGGAGAAGAAGAAAAACAAATGCTGAGCACTTCTAAAGATGAGAGAAGAGACGGAGAGGTAGAGGTTTGAAAGAAGAAGGAGAGGGAGATCGAGGGGCAAAGTGGGAGAACAGCAGAAAGAGAGAAAGGGAAGGAGAGGGAGGTGAAGAGAGCTTAATAGGGAGGGAGAAAGGAGGTGTGATAGTGGGTGGGAGAGGAGGAGACAGTCTGGTGGATGGGCAAAAAGACAAAGGAAGAGAAGAGTGAAAGGGATCTGTCAGAGGGCTGCTTAGGGATGAAGAAACTAACAGATGCATAGAGATAAGGCCGCCAAGGTCTCCAGAGAGGGATACAAGAGTGCAATATGGAGTAACAGAATGGTTTAGTGAGAGGTAAAGAGGAGGAGATAAGAGAGGGGGAGAACGAGATTAAGGAAAAATTCAGAGTGATAGACTGGCGGAGAAGAGGGAGGAGAGAAGAGCTGGATGAGAGAGAGGAGGGAGGCCGTCTTGTAGAGCGCATACAGCACGCGTGGAGCTGGTGTTGGAGCGAACGAGAGACAGAGAGAGGAAGGGAGGGAGGGTGGGAGGAGAGAGGGAAACAGAGGGAGGGGTGAGGTATTTAAACGCCGGAGCAGGACAGCACAGGCGAAGCTCTGAACTCCCCGAGAGTGGAGGTAGGACAGGGAGAGGAAAAAGAAGAGCAGTTTTCCTGACGACCAAGCCCACACACTCAGACACAGAAATACTGCACATACAAGCACACACAAGACGTGCACACTCTCACCCACACACTTTTGGACTTTCGACTCATCTCTGGACTCCAAACCTGTCCTCTGGAGCTCTACCCGCGCCTCCCTTGCTCCCAGCCATCACTCTCCTTACCACTTCACCCACCTTCACTCCCTCAGCCCCTCGCGTGGTGTGAGGGCAGATGGCCATGGCGCGGGCCTCTCTTGGGGGTGCTTTAGGCTGTGTCCTGCTTGCCCTCGTCCTGGGGAGCAGCAACATGGATTTCGGGGCTCCCCCTGCGAGCTTCTACCCCCGTTTCAACCCCTTCTTCTTCCTGTGCACCCACCACGGTGAGCTGGAGGGAGCCGGGATAGCAGAAGGTGGGGGAGAGGTGCTTCTCACCCTCCAAATTACAGGCAACCCCACCACCTACACCCCTGGACAGGAGTATCAAGGTGAGCACACCCCCTAAGGTGTCCACTTTTTAAAAAAAATTCTGCATGGAAAAGAGAATGGGATGTGTTTGTTTCAGCAATGTTGATGTCAGTAAGGAATCAGTAAAATAGAAATGCTTTGAATTGATAAAATTGTGTATTTTTTAAAAAATCTCTTTTTGATGATTCATTTCTACAAAAATGCAATATGCATAATATGCACTTTGCATTAAGACATACAACCAACTTATCGAACAAGAATTATGCACACTGCGGGTGCAGTTAATTCCTTTTCGTGCAGGTGTTTCGTGCGGCTGTTGCGTGTGCACATGGGAGTTAACAGGTTCTGTGAGGTGGCTGTTGTTGGAAACCAGCATTTATGTAACTGTAATAAATAGTGATGCTGAGTGGGACTCCTCTGATCCCGATGCTCCATGTGTAGGTGGCTTCTCCACAGGACTAACGGCGAGATCCCTCCAACTGAATGAGAGTGAGAGAGAGTGTGAAGGCTGCGAGTGCGAATGGACAAAACGGAGCACCACAGAAAGAGATGCTCTGACTGATAGGGAGAAAAGATTAGGAAATCAGTGAATCGTGCTTCGACTGGAAGAGGAGACAGATACTTGTGTCCCCTTTCCCACACTGTTGTGCCGGCACCTGGTCCTGGAAAGCAGATCCCCTCTGACCTCCCCAAACTCTGCTCGTTCGCTCTCTCCTTACTTAACACTGGGGACGGTGACCCTAACAGGCCACCACAGACCGACTAAGGTTACATTCCCACGCAGCTATCATCTTAACAGAGAATTGATGTATGCACATTTTAATGTGTCCACCATATACGCTTTCCTAAATATACATGCATTGCGTGCGCCTTGCTGATGTATTTGATTTAATTTAATACATTATTGTTGATGACGGAATCCAGTTATCTTAACTCTCAATTCAGAGTTTGTGTAACTGTATGAAGAAAGGAAAATAAGGGCAGGAAAACAGATCAGGAAAGGATGAAGCAGTATTATTCTATGTCGGAAAAATAACAGCCCGGATCAGCCCTTCAGTCAAGCACCTTTAACTGGGGCCGGGCTTGTAGGGAGAGTGGGTGGGGAGAGATTTGAATAACTAGCTGGTGGATGGGAGGGAAAGCGCGCACAGAGAGGTTTAGATAATTAGCATTAGAAATGTGGTGGACTGGGAGGAGGGAGGGATTTAAATAGGGCCAAGGCTGGGATCGGATGGAGTAGGGGGAGATTTAAATGACGATGAGAGGATTGAGCCGATAAGATACCAGCAGCAGGGCTTGCACAGAAAAATGACAGGGTTCCAAGCTGCTCACTTTTTTTCTCTCTCCTCCCCCCCCCGCGCGCCTCTGTCCCATGTTTTGGCACATGACAGCAGGTCATTGTTACATTTCCAGGGTTTTGACTGAGTTTGCTTGGGGATGGAAGGGAAAAATGGCAAGCGAGCAAGTGAAATGCTGCTGGCTGTGTGCATAGTTGTGCAATCGTGAGCAATCCCAGTCTCGTCTCTTTTCCACCTCTCTCATCTTTTCAAACCTTGATGGTTACAGCCAGCCTTGCATGTTCTTACCACAGCCATTGCCGGGCTCATCGTGGTAGGAATTGAGTGGATTTTGAGGGGCTACACGTACACAGCAGTGAGACTGAGGACGGACATCTATCTGCATGCCCTGCTAAATGTGGAGTGATAGAAAAAGACAAAAAATGACATCCTCTCGTTATATGATAGAGCAGGCAAAGTGTTTTCTGGGAATAAGCTTGTGTATTTAAGTGGTTTATATTTTTCCCCTGTTTTTCTGTGCTTTTTGAACCTTAGTTTTGGATTAGATTTTGGTTTAATCTTCTAAAGCAATGTGTGATATAACTATTGAACGAAATGGGGGTGGAAAGTATTCGAGGTTCTGGCTGTATGCTTGTTGAAGAAGCTGTAGAAAAGAAAACTGAAGAAAGACCGTGAAGGAGAAGAGGTAGAGGTTAGTGGATGGAGGTAAAGTTACAGAAAAGGAAAGAGATAGATGATCTTTTATAAAAGAGACAGGAGGTGAGTGTCTCAGAAATCTAACTCAGCGTTTGGGGCAGAGCAAGAGGAAGATTCAGTGTGGCCGCACAGTAATTGAGTTTCCAACCTGACCTCACTGCCTCTTGCTTCTCTGTTGCTTTTGAGTGATAAGACCATGTGTGGGCAGTGTACTTTTGAATGTGTAGACAAGATTACGGTATCTTTTAATAAAGAGACAGAAGCAAAAAAGAAAAAAAAGTGAGGTCACACTGGGATTTAAGGCTGTCCTCTAAATAACCAAATGACCCTTTTGAACTACTTTTGATACACTCGGGAAGCAGCTCTCTTTATTTCAATGATGTTAAAACATTTTTTTCATTTGCCGCCTGGCCTCTTTTAACACTGCTGTGGGAGTCGGCGACGGTCTCCATACAGCAACCACATGTTTATAAGAAGCAACATCAGAATACAAAACCCAGAGCATGGTTTCTAAACACAGTTAATCAGAGAAAGCTGCTTTGCATTTCTGTCATTTCTCGTCACCCTGCTGTGGAAATCTTGCGTGTTCGTCTTCACAGATGAACAATAACATTAAGAAAACACGGTGACACAGCAGAGAGAAGAAAAGGAACAGGCAGATTTGATCTAAACAGAGCATTAGATTTAAATCCGGAGCTGAAGGGACATCATTTCACCGGATCGTGGAGCGTTTGGGTCTTCATTAGAGAGCGCAGATTGGCGAGGGGACAGAAGGGCTGTGTGGTGTCCTCTGAAAGTCAGCAGAGAACAGCCAGACAAATGGAGGTATATAGGTAGAAATGGGGCCAGTGAGATTGATTGGGGTCTTTTTCATGTCAAGGTGTTTGCACCAATTTGTTTGTGTTAATGGGCGTACACTCTTGAAAAAAACCCCACAGTCATGTTTATCGTACCACGACTTTTCATATGGACATCTGCGTTTTGTTTGTGCCACTTGAAAGTGTGAGTGAGTTGTCTGGAGCTTGCTTTTATGTGCACAGCTCTTGATGTCATTGTGAAGCACTGAGGCACTCACGCAACCATGCAGGTTCCAAACAGCCCATACAATGGTCTTTTTCAGTGTCGCTCAGGAGGAGGAAGGGGCAAAACAAGACGGCTGCTTAGAGAAGGAGTTGTCAGTAGATGCTGAAGCAGCCTTTCCTAATCTGTCTATGGTTTAGTTCGCGGACCTTTTCCATGTGCAAATGATTGAAAAAGCCAGAGAAACAATCAACATTTCAAGGAGATTTGGACGTTGCCACTGAATGACATTCTTAGTGGGAGTTTGGCGATAAATTCATCCTCACAAAATGCCATCAGCTCATGCCACGATAACCTATGAGATTAGGCTTAGTGAATTGCTCCGTCCGCTCTCCTGTCAGCCGCCAGAAACAGCTCATTGTGCCTCGCAAAGTGAAAGAGGCCATTATCTATCTGCAAAGTTGATTACTCGTCATGGTTGGGGGAGTTTTTCTGCAAGTGTGCTGTTGACTGATGTCTGTAGAACAACATGTTGAATTGAAGGTCACAGGAACAAGGCCCCAGAAGGGTTGTAGAAAAGCAAATATTATCTTGCCTACATCACATTATGCTAGTAAACCCCCAGAAAGATGTCTTGCAAACATAGGGCCCATCTTTAGACTATCCAAACAGGCACGCGCCGGCTTCAGATTGAATGCCCAAATGACATCAATCTGCTGTGACTATGGCAGCCGTTTGGATGTCATCAGCACCTTCTGCAGTACTTAACCTCTGAGGACTGTTAAGTGTCTGCTTTCTGACCTCTGACCACTTCTTGTCAGTGCTGCATTGTTTAGAGTTCTGTTCCTGAGAAGATTAGATTAGAACTTTTTTTTCTGTCCACCTTACATTTCTGTTCCCCTTACATGTAATATTTTGTATTTATGGCTTCACAAGAGTAAGAAAACTTGAAGTAACCTTGGTCAGCAAACCATTTAAAGACTGTCCTAGATTTTATGCAGTTTTGGGAACAGCGAAAATGTGAGCAAGACTGGGGAAAGAAGTGAGGGGCGAGGGGCTAATGGTTTAATAGGGCTCTCTTGTGAGCAAAAAGCAACATGCGGACAGCACAAGCACTTTCAAGTGGTCCAAACCCGTGCATTCATTAGCTTCCCAGCCCTTCAGCCTCTCTGCCTCCTGCTGCTGTGTTTGAATAGGTCACTTCAGTGGGTAGAGAGAAGTGTGTCAAGTGTATTACTGTTTGTATGGGCTTTTTTGGGTGTGTTTGGGTGTTCTGTCTTTGTGGACACTGAATGATGAACCATTTAAAAACCATTGTGCTTTCTGAGTTATGCCAGTTTCCTTTATATCAAGGAGCAGATGGGCGAGAAATGAGAATGGATATTCATTGGGAATCTTCCCTTTGTCATACATGCACGCCTGGCTGTGTGCACAGCACTCAGCTCTTGGTGGGTGATCCATCATGACATAGAGACAGGTCAGATGTTCCGCTGGCTAAACACAAATGTCCTGATCAGCGGGCTATTACAATTCTCTGTGGCGGTGTTACAAAATGACATCGCAACATAAGTTAGTATTTTCCTGCTGTCATGTGCTAAATTGCTATGCCAATATATTTCCTTATTAATGTTCTTAAGCTATTATAATATACTGTACAAATCCATGACATTGCAGAAATAATAATAAACTTGCAGCGACAAACACACTTCTCTGTTGCCGCCTTTGTTTTCTTTTTTCTCATAAAGAGTCAATGAAAGGCTGCAGCAGAGAAATTCAAGCCGTGATAGTTGAGATGGCGCAGATGCCACCTATAAGCTACATTTCTGGAAAATTGATTTACTGCATCAGAGCACAGAAAATCTCCTTAGATAGCAGTTACATTGTTAGCCGTTGCCTGGCTGGTGCCAGAATGATGCCAGCGTGGTGCCAGGTGTGGTAGAAAAACTAAAATTGAAGGCAGTGAGTGGATCCCTGCCAGGCAGAGGTGTGCGCCTGTGCCAGTCTTA